AGTCTCGCCCTTGTTACCCAGGCTGGAGTGCAATGGCGCGATCTCGGCTCACCGCAACCTCCGCCTCCTGGGTTCAGGCAATTCTCCTGCCTCAGCCTCCTGAGTACCTGGGATTACAGGCACGTGCCACCATGCCCAGCTAATTTTTTGTATTTTTAGTAGAGACGGGGTTTCACCATGTTGACCAGGATGGTCTCGATCTCTTGACCTCGTGATCCACCCGCCTTGGCCTCCCAAAGTGCTGGGATTACAGGCTTGAGCCACCGCGCCCGGCGAGACCCTGTCTTAAATAAATAAACCAAATATCAAAATATTGTATAAAACTCTATGAAGAGGAAGAAAAACGTTTTAAAACACATCAGCTGAATTTGGTAAAGGAATTAGAGAAAATATTTGGATTTGGTAAAAAACTAGAAAAAATATGGATGTTTTCCTTTAACCTAAATCTTTAATATTTTCTTCTTTCTGAATTGCCTCATATACTTTCTTTAGAGAATAAAGTATTACTTTAAGAGGAAAAAAAAAAAAGCTGAATCTCCCTCTGGGCAATGAAAACATTCCCAAATGACAGAGTCCACTCCATCAGTCCCTTCCCCACACACAGGCTTCCCCCAGACTAAGGCAGGGTCATATCAGAAGGTCAAGGGAATAAGACTTCCCTCTGTGGCCTAGGGTCTTCTCTGTGCTGTCCCTGAATAAGAAGAAGGTTCCTCTGACCAGCTGCTGTCAAAGGCCTTTCCCTGCCCCCTCCCAAGTTCTATTTCAGCCTGAACTAATTCACCACAATCCCGAGGGCTGGGAAAAAAAATTTCCACCATTGCGATTTGGAACCTGATATTTAGACCAAGTTTTTCCCAGCCCCTTTCTGTGTCAAAGGAGGCCCCTCAAAGCTTCTTAGACAACTAGCACTCAGGCCAGCTTAGCTCCCACATCAATGCTACACTTACAGAAAAACCCCCAAGTTGTTAGTCATCACCAGAGAAATGTGAGAGAAGGAACTGCAGCAGGGATAGCCCCTGACACACAACCCTACCCTCTTGCCCTGAAAGCCTCCTCCTGGGGGAGATGCAGGGCTTTTTCTGGCATTGGATCTTTTATACTCCATTTCAAGTCTGTAGTAAATCAACAAAGAAAAAAATCAGGGTGCAAACACAACAAAGACAGAGAGCTATCCTTTCAAAGACCTTAGAGCCATGTGCCTCTCCTCTCCAGGGAAAATTCAGTACTAGCTTCTGAGCAACTGAGTTTGGGTAGTAACCTAGTGTGGACCAAAACACAGACTAGGACTGTATCAGACCAGAGATTGGCTCTCATTCTGGTATTCATAAAGAGGAGTTCCATTAATTGCCCCAACTCAAACTTCTCAATACTCAACAGAATGGGAACTGCTGCTCAGATAAGGGGTAAGGAAGGATGCCAAGAAGCAATGCAACACAGCAGCCCCACAACTTTTTTCACATCAAGGCATATCTAGAAAATAATACTCTTTGTACAGTACATGGATTAGAAGCTGATCCCATTCAGAGGGTACTGACTGGGAACTTTACCTGCCCCTAGGAATAAGGGGAAATCAGTATCCCAGCACACCTGTAACCCATCTGCAGCATACCAGTAGGAAAGCCCTGAATTAAGGCACTGGGCTGGGTTAGCATTCTTGGAATCAATGAATCTTCTCATAGCCCTCATCTCAGGCTCTTCAACTTTGGCTGACAGGCTATGGGTCAGATCATGTGTCTGGAACAGAAAGCTGGGAGCCTGTGGTCTTGACTCAGCGCTGATACAACTTCCCCAGTGAGGATACTCTTCAGGGGTTTTTCCACAGATACACTGGAGCTGAGGAAGCCCTCCAGTTAACAGCAGCAGCCATATTCTGAGACTGGGTATGCACAACAGGGTAATTGGTTTTATCAGATTTCTAAGCTTTAAAACCCCTTTTTGGGAACACAAGTGATCTCAGATGTGACTCACTGCTGAGAGATACAAACTTAAAAGCTACCATTTACTAAACATATAGTAGATGCAAGACTTTGCTAAGTATTTGACTTCCAATTTCATTAAATTCACACAACAACCTCCTGTGGCAAATGCTATTATTATCCCCATATATAAGAGGAGACTGGGACTCAGATTAAGTAGCTTGCTTGAGATCAAACACTCTTCTAACTGAAGACTGTGGATGAAACAGGATTTGAACCCACTCTGACTTGAAAGTCCATATGCTAACCAGGACACCACTATGTCACCTCAACAAACCTCCCAAATAGCTTTTTCAAAAACCAAACCAATTAGAATGAAGCTGAATCTGGGAAAGAAAAAGGTGAAAAAGGAACAGCTTATCTGACTGTTTCATGCCATCAATCAAAAGAAGCTAATCTGGCCAAGCACGGTGGCTCATGCCTGTAAGCCTAGCACCTGAGGTCAGGAGTTCAAGACTAGCCTGGGCAACATGGTGAAACCCCATCTCTGTTAAAAATACAAAAATTAGCCAGGTGTGGTGGCATACACCTGTGATCCCAGCTACTCGGAAGGCTGATGCAGGAAAATTGCTTGAACCCAGGAAGCAGGGGTTGCAGTGAGCTGAGATCGTGCCACTGCATTCCAGCCTGGGCAACAGAGCAAGACTCCATCTCAAAAAAAGAAATGAAAGAAAAGAAAAGAAAGAAAGAGAAAAGCTAGTCTATATTGAGTACTTACTGGGTTTCAAACACCTTATATACAGGGGCTCACCTAATTTTCACAATCCTACCAGAGCAGGAATTTATCACCTCCATTTTACAGATGAGGAAGAAGTCCTAGGCTCAGAGATGTTAAGATACTTGCTAAGCCAGAGTCCTTGTTTTTTCTACTACACTATGCTTCTGACTATTCAGGAAATACACCTAAGCCTGTACCTGGGCCAAACATCTAACTCACAGCCATGTTCTCAAAACATGGTATAAAGGGTACCTTTCAGAAAAGCGGGCACACGGGACACTTAAGAGCCCCCAGAGAAGAACTCAAATTCCCAAAAAGGGATGATTTCCCTGTGTTGCAAAATTGAGGTGAAATCCCCTCGTCTCCTGAGACAACTAACTAGCCCCGGCCTGCCCTGTTCCAACCCTTCATCAGCAGCAGCTCAGGCACACAGAAACTAGACCAAAACAAAAGACACGAGGAAACAAATCAAAATTTTACACAGAAAGGAAGGCATGCAAGTGGGTGGTCCAGTCCCCCGTTTGACCTGGGTTCTCCCAGTGCTCTGGTGTCCTGGTTAATTAGGACACCACACGCATTTTGTGAATATTAAGTGATTAGTTTGCTAACTAAACAAACTGGCCAATCAAGGGTCAATGAGAACATGAGGGACTCTGGTTCTGAGCTCTCACAAAAAATGGCAGGGCAGTTCCTATCTAAGGCAGCCTCCCATCCAATCCACCTCACCCCATCCCTTTCTCCCCAGTTTCTATAGCTAACTCCTGTCAGCTTGCTGGGGGTTTTCACAACCTCACAAGAGTGCAGATCCCCTCCCACTCTTTTCCTCAACAGTTGGGCTCTTGTTCTCAAGGGCGCTAAGTCCCAGTCTCTCCTCCTCAGCCTGTGAGATGGTCACAGCACATTAGTAATCACTGACTCACCCGATCCCCCTCAGGAGGCTGGGGGAAATGCAGAGGGCCACAGGATGTGTAGCCCACATCCCTTCGGCCCTTCGCAGAGCTAGCAGGCAGAGAGGTGCCAGAGACACCACTTCCCCTTGGAACACTGTGGACCCTCTCTGAGCCAGCTCTGGTGCCAGTGGGCTGATGTCAGGCTCTCTACCATCGGAGAAGCCAAGATCTCTAGACAGCTCCACTGTTGCCAACAGATCTAATCTCCTTATTCCAAGGCAGATGAAATCCAATAAGGCTAAGTCCACAACTTACCCCTCCTCTTGGGCAGAGGCAAAGGCAGAGTCGACCCTTCAGGCCATACCAACAATAACGCCAGAATTATTACTGCTTCTTAGATAATTCTTTGGGGAACTGAGAATTATTTCCCCGAGTTTCTCAAAGATTAACCCCCGGTTTACCAATGTTTTCCCTCTGCAAAACATTTTCAGCTCCAACATATTCTCTGGCTCCTTCCCAGTGATACTAGCTCAGAACCTCTCGCTTCACAGAGCCACTGACATCAACGTTCAATTCCCACACTAAAGAAGAATCCCAGAGTCAGCTGTAAAAACCTATTTATGCAGACCATTTTGAAACCTACAAAAAGACTAAAAAGCACGGGCTAAAGAACACAAACCAGTCACTAAGGCTTAACATGAAAAGGAGGGGAGGAGGCGGGATGGTTTGTGTATTGTTTCACTTGGAAAAATACCCCGGTGAAATGGTTTATCCACATGTTCAGCCTTTTAGGCAAATCCACTATAACTTAGCAGGATGCCTGCAGGCCATTCTGAAAATAAGCAGAATGGCATCACTCCTTATTTCACCCCCTTCAGGACCTGTCAGCCCCCTCCGCATCTCCCTCTCCCCCCAAACATCTGGTCTGGGCTGGGAGTGGGACCCACTCCCTGGGAAGCCTCCATGTTCGCAGGAGAGGTGGGGTCCCCGCTAAGGGAAGCCTGCTGAGCAGCGAGCCAGCCGCGCTTCTGAATTCCCCCCATCCCGCGAGAGGCTCCGGGCTAAGAACGCTAGGGGCTGGGAGTCGGGCAAGGAATAGGGGAGACGGGAGAAGGGCCGCAAATGTGGGAAGAGAAGGAGGAGGCAAAAGCCTGGTTCCCGGGACGGTCCCGGGCTGGGGAGATCTCCTCCTCTTAAGCGTCCAGGGGTGGAGGCGTCGGTCCCGAGATCCCCGACGGGGATGTTCCAGCCGGCCAGCGGCTGCTCAGAGGTTTCTAGGAAGACACTGGAGGCCAGGATCCGTTTGGGACCCCGACTGAGGGGGTGGGCGGGACGGGGGCCCAGCACAAAGTCCCAGCCGGGGCGTAGAGACCTGAGGGGCGGTAGGCGGGGGAAGGGGCTGGGCTCAATTCTCACCAGCACCAGGGCGAACCTTTCCTCCAGCTCACAGGGCTCAGGCATCGGCATCTTGCCGGGCGGCAGCAGCAGCGGGACAGAGGGCGGCTCTCCCGGGCTCCCCTCGGCGCTCTCCAGGTTGCCCATCGCGGCGGGGCCCCTTCAGGGGCCTCAGCCCCCCACCTCCACGCCCCGGAGCCTTGGGCTTCGCAGCTCCGACCAGGCTCCTCCCTCAGCGCCGGATCCCCAAGTCCCGACTCCTCGGCCCCGTCGGGGGCGCAGGGGGCTCCCTGGAGTCCTGCTGGCGGCGGCGCGCGGCAAGGGCGGAGGCAGCGCCGCGGACAGCCGCACCGAAGCGAGGGGGACAGAGGCGGCCGGCTCTCGCTTACACCCGCCGCCTCGCCTTGCTGGGCGCACCGCCCGGGCGCTGCCCCTCCCCGCCCCCCGCACTCTTTCCCTTCCCCCCCCCACCTCGCTTCCTCCCACCCACTCCCAGCTGCAACTCTGGCTTCCCCCGCGAGCGCCGACTGCAGCCCGCTCACCGCGCGCCCCATTCATGCAGGCCCCGCCTCCCGCCCAGAGGCCTCCTGGGCTGCCCGGCCCGCTCCGCCTGCCCCCGATTGACGACCGCGCCTGCCAATCACGGCTCCTGCCGCCCTTGACGGCCTCGTGCTGGGCGCCGAGCGCACCCTGGCGGCCCCAGCGGGCATCGAGTCACCGCGGTGTCCAGAGGTCGTGAGGCGCTGGCCTGGACACCCCGGGAATGGATCTTACCCTTTTTCACAAAGAATTCATGATGTCTACAAGTAAGTAAAATATTATACAAGGCATGGCGTACAAAACTAACTACTAGAGAAGTAGAAACAAGCAGGATACTCAGAAGAGGGAGAGATAGTATCTGTTAAGAGGGGGGGTAAGGGAGATCATTTGGAACGGGCATTGAGGGATGAGGAAGCCCTTACCCGACAGAGCTAGGGGAAAAGGCATTTTGGAGGAGAGAAGCGTAAACACGGTCAGAGGCCCATCTGGCTGCGTGTGACAATGGAGAGGCAGAAGAACGCTGTTCCGGGCTCAGTTGGCGGGTGGGTCGTTGATGATGCAGTGGACATCTGTTGTCTAGTCGCCATCTTCTTCTAGTGATAGCATCCCATTTTCTTTTAGGAAACCGCCTCTCCTCTGTTCTCACTCTAAATGGAGCTGAGCTTTATCCCGGGCTTGAAAGGGCCCCATGACCCAGGCCCAGTCAGTCACAACATTTTCCTCCTCTACCCTTAGACACTGTTTTGGGGATTGCCACCTGACCCAAGCCCAGACTATATGATATATCCAGGGCTTTCTCTGGAACAATCAGGAAAGAGGCACCCTCTCTGCATTTATGCTGCAAAATTGTTAGAATGTAAACCTGCATCCGCTGGTGGCCTTCTTATCATCACCTGTAACACATCAAGCCTGCTTGAGAATGAAGCCAATGCAGAAGAGAGAAAAGCTACGAGACAGGACAAAATTCTAATGACATGCCAAGAACCTGGATCTAACCATACCTGAAGTTATCACCTAGATTTTTCATTCATTTATTCCATAAACATTTATTTTAAAAAGCTTATTCTTCCCAGCACTTTGGGAGGCCAAGGTGGGTGGATCACCTGAGGTCAGGAGTGCGAGACCAGCCTGACCAACATAGAGAAACCCCGTCTCTACTAAAAATACAAAATTAGCCTAGCGTAGTGGCACATGCCTGTAATTCCAGCTACTCAGGAGGCTGAGGCAGAAGAATTGCTTGAGGCAGGAGAATCGTTTGAACCCAGGTGGTGGAGGTTGCCGTAAGCCGAGATCTCGCCAGCCTGGGCAACAAGAGCAAGACTCCATCTCAAAATGTGTCTTCTTGGAATCCACAATCTGTGTAGAAGGGGAGATAGACAATAAACTAAATGAGTAAAATGTATAGATGGTAGTGATCAATGTTAATCAAAATAAAACTGAAAGGGGATAGAGATGGAAGAGGCATTAAGATTTTAAATAGAGTTGCTTACTTAAAAAGCTGATGGCCGGGCGTGGTGGCTCACGCCTGTAATCCCAGCACTTTGGGAGGCCGAGGCAGGTGGATCACGAGGTCAAGAGATCGAGACCATCCTGGTCAACATGGTGAAACCCCGTCTCTACTAAAAG